TTTTATTATTAATCATTTTTTATTTTATGGAAAAAGGAAGGGTCTTTTGGAAGGGCAAAGGCACATGGTGGAGGCTATTTTCACCTTTGCCTGTCCACATCTTTTTCCATAATTCAAATCATGCTTTCATGTTCAGCTTCAGCCTGATTTTTAGAGTAAATTATAATTTTGGTCCTGTATGTTTTACGATTTTAACTTTTTCGTCATCTTCAAATAGCGTTTTTGATTTTCGTCTAATATGTTTCAAAAAAAGTTACACAAAAGTCTTTTTCCATACATAAAGGACGAAATGGAAACACTGTTTTACAAAACATAAGGACATTTTTATTGCGAAAATGATCTTTTTGTAACATTTTTTCAAACATACGGGACGAAAATTAAAACACAATTCGAAGAGGATGAAAAAGTTAAAGTAGTGACAGCGCTAGCTGTGACACCACTTGCACTGGGTAATTAATCTTTATAAAATTACATCCTGGTTATTTTTTGTTTGGTGTCCACCTGTAGGAGAACTCACTCTACTCAGCTGAGCTGGCATCTTTTTTAGAAAAATATATTAAATACTAATAATTTATTGGCGGGACGGCCATCCAACGGGACGGTTTCTTTTGGGGTGGGGGCCGAGCGCGTTGTGGATGTCGTCAAAGGGCGCCATGGTGGATCATAGTCATCTGCCACGTGTTGACTGAACGTTTAAACATAGGGTTAATTGCATAAAAACTACCATATTTTGTTTAATTGCAAATAAAACTCAACTTTTTTAATTTGGCAAAAAAATACTTAACTTTTATTAAGTGTTGCAATTTTGTGTCGTCCGCCGGACCGCCACGCCACCCGCCTCCGCCAACTTTGCCGGATATTGAAAATTTTTATATGATCTTGTAGCTCTTCTCCGTGCCAACAACATATCCGAGTTTCACGAATAAATTTCGACGACAAGACGTCCAATTTTTTGGTCAAAGGTCATAAAAAATATAGATCTACGAGCTTTGACCGGAAAATTGGACGTCTTATCGTCGAAATTTTTTCCACGGATATGTTGTCGTCACGGAAGAGAGCTACAAGATCATATAAAAATTTTCAATATCCGGCGAAGTTGACGGCGACGGGTGGTGGTTGGCGGCGGCGGTCCGGCGGACGAGACAAAATTGCAACACTTAATAAAAGTTATGTATTTTTTTGCCAAATTAAAAAGGTTGAGTTTTATTTGCAACTAAATAAAAGGTGGTGGTTTTTTATGCAATTAACCCTTAAAAATATGAACATTTTTACGTTTATATAAGGATTTGTTTGTTGTGTTTTTGTCCTTATTTTCTTGTGTTTTATGTGTTTTATTTTGTGGTTTTTAGGTCCGTTTTTAGGCTCGACCGGTCCATTTTGTTGTGTTTTGTATATTCTTGCTCTTGTATAGCTTGTTCGTATTTTTGCGCGTTGTCTCTTTGTTTTTGGTGTGATTAGGTCCATTTCATCGCGCACGAGGAGACGAGCCGTCCGAACCGTCTGAGCCGTCCAACCCGGAAAATCCGACCAAGCCATACCGGGACGAAGAGAATTCAATTAGAAGAATTTTGGTCCAAGTTTCATGCGAATCGGAGTTGTGTACGAGAAGATAGAGCGAA